AAAACTTAGTTGATGAGAAATCCTCACGAATATTTTACTTTGCTCCTGTCCTGTTTGTGTTTTCATTTTCTGCCTGTCCTTGTCGCTGAAGTGCAAGGACATCCTTTCTCAGCCTAATCTGCATCAGAGCTCATCTTTTAACCAAGCTATTGGCCAGTTCTTACAGAATATCCCTTCTGGTCCCTATAACAGCATACAAGGTTTTTTTTGTTTTTTTTTTTTTTTGCACCTAATTGTACTTAAAACTGCCTGCAGTTGGACTTTTCTTCCCATACTGTTGCGAGCTGTTACCAGATTACAAGTGACTTGGTTGCTCAGTGTAGTGGCCCACTCCTCCATTTGATTTTTATTAGCGACACCTGACAGTTGACACCTATTTCAACTGTTCTCTAGAACTGCACCTCAGTTTTTTCCCTTATCACTGGTGACTTACCTATGCTAATCTTGTCTCAGAACTTGAAAACTAGCGCTTAGTCCTTGAACATTTTCATGTACCACAGTTCTATACATTTTTCTTTCAAGTTTCACTCCCAGATTTTTATTTCTATTTATAAATATAAATAAATTTTTATCTAGGTGCCTATTTGATATTTCCACTTGTAGTATAGAAATGATCTAATTTCAGTTTCACCAACCCTCCTATTTAAGCCAAAACCTGTGGTTATGCCGAACTATACATCTCCCAAACTTAATCTGGAATCTTCCACTATAGTCAGTCACTGTTGCATTATGTATACCTAGATTGTGTATGAAGATTATGTATATTTGGGTCATGTATACCTATTCCCTGTTATCCCCACTTACAGAATTTATGTGTAGATTGACCAAAGAAAGCTTGTATCTTCAACTTTTGCCACTACCAGGCCATCTAGCTAAACTGCCCTTGCTATTTCTGGATACTGGTACATTCTACTTTAGGGCTTTTATGTTAGGTTCCCCTGTGTTTGAAAGATTTCTTTCCTTGATAATGGCCACTGAGTTTGCTCCTTTACCTCAAGTCTGATGATTTGTTTACCCATTAAAAATTGTACCCCACACTCAGAATTTTTTTGTTGGTGGCGGTATATTTGTATCCATGAAGACATGGTTTGATTTGCTGCTATATCTTCTGTTACCAAGTGCAATATTTGTTGAACAAAGGAAAAAATGACAATCCCTGTTATCTCTGAAAAAGCAACTAAGTTTTAATGTTTTCTACTGGAAGCATTTGCAGATTTTGGCCTCAAATGATAGGGACTTTTGTACTGGGCCTAAAATCACTGGGGTGCAGATAGGAACTACATAAGTGGTGATTTTCCTTTTAATGCTGCCCACTATTTAGCAAGATTGATAGTGCAGCTCCAATCTGCTATACTTAGTGGGATTGGCCTGTTTGATTAACTGGCTCCCCTCCCCCCCTCCATAATCTGGTTTAAAGGTGGTTAAGTTTCATCTACTGAAATTGTAATTTTCCATTTACGTATCTTACAAAAGTAATGTGTAGGTGAATTCACAATGGTTTTTGTTATGTGATTCTACTTGAGATCCTTTTACCTTGATCTTTTCATAGGAAAATAATTGTACATTGTGACCAGCAATACACAATTCTTCAAAGTAGGTTACTGACGTCCTTTGTCCTAAGGCAAAGACTGCTTTATATTTTGTGACTGAAAGAGCAAATGGCTTGACAAACTGGCTTTGTCTCTTAAGTGTATATGCAGCGCCACTGTGAAAGTGCATGCTAAGGTTAAAGGAGAGAAAACATTTGTGTTTTGGAGTTGACGCAATTACACAGGTCCCTAAATGTGAAGAGTGGCAGAAAAGGTTGGTACAGAGCTGTGAGCATACTGCTGGATGACGGTGTTGAAGGTGGAGAAAAGGCCAGGAGCTGAGAGGGTGAGCTCTTAAAAGCTGGAAAGAGTGGATGAAAGAAATCCCATCTCACACTGCATTCACAAAAAGCCATTATGTGTATTCTCTCAGCCCTCGTTTAGTCTCAGGGCTGTAAGTACCTGTTTTAATGATCACAGTCATTCCCTAGGTGATGGCTGTGATTATTTTGGCTGAAGTTAGTTGTCTGATTGCTCATGAAGTCCTCACGGCAACATGTGTTTGTGGTCTTGCATGCAGAGTAGCTTGTCCGTATGCTTTACTATCGGAAAAGTCATTACCGGGTTGGAGGAAAGGTCTTTAACTACGTAGAAATTATCTGAAATTCAGAATTCAGTACGCACAAGTAGTTTATTAGAGCACAGAGGCCCACTCCACCCAGCTGCTGCAATTACACCACAGTGGCAGGGCTGAGTAGCAGCAAGAGACCAAATGCAGCACTCTCGTGATGGCACCACAGTGCAGCATCACTGATGGCAGTGGCAACGACCAAGCACCTCACTTGCCACCTGTGAGAAAAGACATCCTTAAAAATGCAATAGATTGGCCCTCCCTGGTGGCGCAGCGGGTTAAAGCGCAGCACTGAGAGGCTAAAGCCACTTCCGCATGAGTTCGATTCCCGCCTGCCCCGGAGGTGACCACATGGCGTGGCAGACCTCTCCTGACCCACCCGCTGCTCCCCTCAGCAGTGTACGTGGTAGATCTGCCTGTTCTGCTCCCCACTCTGTCTCTGGTGAGGCCTCTCGCTGCCCCTGAGCCTCTGGCCTGTACCCCAGCTCTGTATGTACAAATAAATAAATCTTTTAAAAAAAAAATGCAACAGAGTCTCAGTATACATCAGCATAAACTGGTGAACATTTGCAGTCAAGTTTGACAGCAGGGATTGCTAACTTGGCGCCCTGGTTAAGTGAAAAGTCCTCTCACCCCAAAGGAAGTGTTCCAAAAAAGAAATTACTTATTATTTTGAACTTGAAATTTTGTAGATTGGTTTCTTCTTCCTACAAATAATTCTACCCTGTGGAAAAAGCTTACTGATGCCTGCAATAAATAGGAAAATAAAGCATCCAGGTTCAATTAAGAGCTTTGGCAAAACTATTTATAAAATAAGTGTGAGTTCCTCTGGGCTAATTCAGTGTACTATTACCTTTCACTATCATATAGGAGACTGATGTATAACGTGTCTGTGTGGTAAATGTTGATAAAGCATCAGAGATTAGCCCAATTGGGGCACTGCTACATTTAGAAGTGTTAATGGGACAAAGACCCCTGCTATTTGCCACCAGTGGGTGGGTGAAGATACAACACACTGGAGGTCACCATCTGGTGACCAATGTTTTCATTGAATTGTGCCCATTGGCCAGTGTCTGCTCACTCTTGTCCTCTATGGGAAAGGTCAGTTGTCAATAAGACCTAGTAGAAGCAGGCTGCCCCATGCATGGCAGACAACACATTCCCTCATGGGCTGTGCACACTATAAGATCCCACGCAGGCCAGCCTGGCTTCCTGCCCACTTGCCATCTGCCTTGCAGTGAGTGAGGCCATGTCACAGACTGACTACACTGGACCTCTGGCCACTTCTCAGGTCCCTGATGATGCCTTAGTACTTGATACATTTTTAGGTAATGATGTTGCTGCCCCAAGAGCTCTTACCCATTTTAGGTAGAATAACAGCATTGTGGGGTATTAGCAGTATTAATCCCAGTAGATGCCAGTAGCACCTTTCCCCTAGTTGTGAAAAGCAAACTGTCTCAAGACATGACCAAGTGTCCCTGGATGCAAGACTGCGTCCCCCTCCTCCCTTCCTGTTGAGCACTGGTGCCCTTGATTCCAGAACTGCTGCCAGACTCAGGTACAGTGTTGCCATCTACAGTCTTACCTGCCGGTGGGCTCGCAGTCTATCCTCATCCACGCAGATTGCTGATGCATCAACAGCAGCACCCAACTGCAATGGTGGACAAACTCACAGACATACACAACCTTTCAATGTGACTGATCACATGCTTTTGATGTCTGAGTGGCCCTGGGCAAAGTCAAAATTGGCAACCAAAGCTGCAACTGTTGACGATGCTGCCCATGGGACTTAACCAAAATCAGGTCTAACGTGAACGGCGTCCACTCAGCTTCTATCTTTATATGAGTGGGCGCTATCTCCATCATGACCGGGGCTTTTTTTTTGCCCATCTCTTGATAACGACACCAAAGATGAGCAGATCAGATGCCATCACTGGCGCAGGTCGTTATGAATAGTCTGAGTGGATAGTCAAGACAGCCTAAAAGCAGCTCTGCACTCCCACTGGCCTCACAGCGGGCTGGGACCCAGGAGACCACGTCTAAGGCCAGTGCCACAGGCTGGCTTCATGTGCTGCTTCAAGTCTTATGCACAGCAGCCTTCATTAAATGTAACCTTATTTGAAACAAACTGAGAAGATCTGATTCTGATCTGGTGGTTGACTCATACTCATATAAAAATTCAAGTTTGGCCAAGAATGTGCCAGGCTGAGAAGAAATTGTGAGAGGCAAGCTGGCATCTGGCCCGAGGGCCCTGCACTCTCCTGAAGGGTATGCCGAGACTATGATGCACTGACTGTGCTTCACCTGGTCACTTCTCAGGATTGTGTTTTCATCCGCTGGGCAGACGCGAAGGATGAGGTAATGTCTCCCCCTTAGTAAAGAGCAGGTTTGTTTCTGCTTCCTGCAAAGGTGGCAACCTCAGCCTTCCTCTTCTGTAACAAACCACTGCTAGATGGGCCCTTTGCATCCCCGTGTGGTAACTGGAGAGGCCTGGGCACTGACTGAAATAAACATGAAGCTCTGTTAACTTTGGTGACAGCTTTGTTTTTCACCCAGCAGTTTCATGTTTTTTATTTGCCAGCATCCATAAGACTGTGGTAGGCTAACTATTTATTTATGCATACAAGAGCTGGGGTCTAGGCCAGAGGTATGGGGAGGGTGAGCAGATTCACTAGAGACAGAATGGGAAGCAGAACAGGCAGACTGGCTGGAACACACTGCTGAAGGGAGCAG